AACCGGTTCTCCACTGAAATGCGTTGGGGGACATGACAGTGATGATGTCATCGTCAAAGGACCATCGGAGATAGACACTCTCATCATCTGCTTGCTGTAGGAAAGGTATTGCATATTGGAAGATTACGCGCTGAACCAGACCTCAGGAAGCCGCAAAAACATCGCAGCATCTGAGACAAAACCATGTGCACAACTCCACCCGTTTCTATGCATGCCATGGCGCCCAGAAACTTCCCGGCGCCCTGCATTGACTCCGCTGTGCTGTTCTGAAGCGACGCATGGCGGAGCAGCTGGGCGACGATGTGGATCAACAAATACGCATATGTCACCACAAGCAGACAAAGCAGGAGAATTGCCAGTGCGTGAACGGTGCCGACACGTGGGTTCAGAATAAGCAATGCTGCAACTGCAGTGAATAGAACGAAGCGAAGTGTACTAAGTACCATTTCCAGGAAATCCAAGATTTCTGCCTGGTCATTGGCAAAGGGCTTCAGCCAAGCAACCAAGATAGCCTGTGCAGCGGAGATGACGGGAAAAAGCAGCAGCTTGGCTTCCGTGTCTTGCACAGCCGACGTGTAGGTCAGGATCATCATCGTGGCCACATCAGCCCTCTTGACCAAAAGATCCCACCACCAATACCGCGCCTCATAGCCCTGTCCAGGGAGTGTGACTGAGCTAGGGCCATGACAGGGGACAATCCCTACCTAGACAAAAGTGCTATTCTCTGGGCGGTTCTTCGTTGGGGCTCTCGGGTCTCGGGCAGGAGACATGCATCAACAGTGGCTGCCTGCATGAAATACCCATACTTCCTGTAGTTGTCAGGCGAATGTCGGTCGGCTAGGGAAAGCACTCGGAGCACCAAGGCAACGGGAATCCCAAGGCACCAGATCACAAGGCCAGCGATAGCCAACATCGCTATGGGATTGTGATTGCCTGTCCAACAGACTGTGTCCGGGCTAGGCAGTAAGCGCTCAGTGACTTGTCTTTCGCCGTCCGATCCATCGAAAGGAATGGCAACGCACCAGAGAAGGCGAAGAAAGGCAGACAGCAGGACTGGCCACACCGAAACTAGGCTGATCCACACGACCGGCATACTCTGCCGCAAAAGATCACCGAGACGAGGCCTCTGGGTAAAGAGCCCAAAGTCGAGCGAATCCATGGTGGCATCCACATCCAGATGTTCATCAATATTGAGGCTCTTTCGCATGCTCTTTGTGGTCCTTTGCCACCCCCATCACTAGCAGTCCGCGTGAAAAATTTGGCGACAGAAACGCTATCCTATACGGAGATGGCAAATTCAAGCACAAATCTGTCCAAGGAGCGAGGTGCGGCGTGTCTCCAAGAGATCGTCGGCCTGCATTTGGAAGGCTCATACAAGTGAACGAACTTCAATTGCATTCCTTAAAGTCCTGCCTTGTCCTCCAAAGCGTCGCTCTGGGAGAGTCCGGAAGTTTCGAATCTGCTGGCTACGGTGTTCAGAAAGCTGTTGAAGTCTTCTGCCGTCGGCGCTATTTCTTCTGCTAGGGCACCGAGCATCGCAAACACCTCCTCTGGCTCTGAGAAAGCCCCCGAGCATCCAGATCGGAGCTGGCATACCTTGAGCAGCAGCGCCGGCGATGCAGTAGCACCCTGGCACAGGAATTCATCGGGAGATTCTGTGCCGCGTCGCAGCGCTGCGAGGCTGACGTGCAGCATTCCTGAAACCTTGACATCCTGCCACGTCAGTCCGGATGGCTCTAGGATGGGGAGCACAGCGTTGTGGAGTTGCTGCACGACCTTGGCTTTCTCCCTGAGGCGTCGGCCTGCCTCATTGAGGGGCTGGCCGCAGTATGTTGCCAGGGGTGCCACAAGGTGCGAAGCGCCCAAGCACACCAGCACCGTCGCGGCGGCGGTAAGCAGAGGCAGGGCAAGGTAGTACGCAACAAGGGCTGCATTCTTTGCAGCGGGCTCATCTGGCATGAGGGCTTGAGCGTAGCAGTGGATGCCGTAGTAGACGGAGACCTGCAGCTGGACAAGGGCAACGGAGTCCAGAAGCTCCCGCATGGCATTACTCACCCACACAGGCCATAAGAGGGTGTCAAAGCCTCGGGTCGCATCGTCCGAGAAGACCAGAGTGCGAAGTTGATCAAGGTCGAAAACCGTGAGGACAGAGCAAGCTGCCAGCCACTGACTCACAATTCTGATCATGCTCGTGTGAAGCTTCCCATTGTTCCTCACTGCTGCAATGGCGGCCATGGAGGCCACAACAAAGCTGATGAGGGCCTTCGTGGTCACGTCAAGAATGATAGAGGCGGTGAGCGCTCCTGCTGACCCCGAGCACTCTCGGCAGTGGGTGCGGAAACTGTCTTTTGCCCAGTTCATTGGGCACTCTCCGCAGAGGAGCCCAGTTGTCCCGCTGGCGCAGAGGTTCCTGAAACCAGCAAGTTCAATGCAATTGTCGTCGCCGTCGTCCTGCAAACATGCAGAACCGCCCAGGCAAGCACTGGAGCCATCCTCGGTCTTCGCATTGCATTTCAAGGCCGTGATGACACCAGTTTGGAAGAAGCCTGGCTTGGCTACCGGCAGCACGTGATCCTTTTTGGTCTGGTTCCGGAAGCCGCCCTTGCAGTCTAACGTTCTGTTCATTGCTTCACAGCTGACGCATCTGGACAGCTTGCCCATAGAGTCAAGGGCTGCGAAAAAGCCGGGTGAGCAAAAGCAGTCCACCAAGCTTGTCGCGCCCAAGTTGCTATCTGCATTTGTTGGGCACTGGAAAGGGCAGATGACATCATTACCCATTGCCGGCTTGTACCGCGCCTGAGGGCAAGGATCACATGTAGTCGTGCTCTTGAGGCGACCTGCTTCACAGATACAGCTGTCCGCAGACGTAGCTTTTACATCCGCAGTAGTTGCACCCTCTGCGCAAGAGACCTGTCCTCCAGTGCCATCGCAGTAGAAGCCCCGAGGGCAGTCCATGCATTCAGTGCCATTGGCGACCAACCCGGGTTCGCAGAGGCATTCGAGGACAGTCTTCGCCCCCTCTCCGATGGTGGACCTCGTATCTGGGCAGTTTGAGCACAAGAAGTTGCCAGCAGTGTCTTTGTAGGATCCCTCTCGGCAGGGCTCGCATGTGCCCAGCTGTGTGCTGAAGCCGAAGCCTGGACCACAATCGCAAACTGATGGATCATGAACATTCGGCACAAAGTGGTCCATGCAGGTGCAGTTGCCACCCTCCTGAACTGTTGTCGACCCGTACGGGCACTCCACGCAGAATGCCGTGCTCTGATCCGACTGATACCCCAAGATGCACTTGCAATCGAACAGATCACCTCAGAACACTCAAGCCCTGACCCCATGGAGATTGAATGACTGACAACGACACAGCCCTCTGATGGCATTCCCTGAGGCACCAGCTGGAGCCATTGAGCGCTGTGCTGAAGTCAGGGCAGGGGAAGGCTTGCTCCCCTCCGGGACAATAGTGGTCTTGCAGGCAGAGTTTGCATGCATCGTCACTCTGTGGCTGGAACCAGCCAGGAGGGCAAACGAGGTGCAGCTGTAGAGCTACCACGCTGAAGTCTTGCTGCGCACAAACACTGCCGGCAGGACACCAGCACAGATGCAGTATCTCTGGCATCAGTGCAGCTTCGATGACATCGAAATGTAAGTCGCCAGCGAACCCCAGGTTTTCTGGCCTGGGGCGGATCGCAGGCTCAAGGTTCCTTCTTGTCTCCGGTAAGGCACAGTCTGCGCGCAACTCCAGATGATCGTTTTCAGTGAGACCTACACCGCTCCAGGCCACAATGCAGAGAGTTCCCAAGAAGCAGTTGGCCTGCTGATGGTCAAAAGGGCCCTCGGCAACAAGAAGCCCCACGGCCCGGTCGAAGTCTCCGGGGCCGGTGCAAGATGATTCGGGTCCATGGTGGCAGCAGCAAATGCGATAGCGCCCGGGGGTCATGGAGAGCATCGATTGCCTGCTGGCTGCCAGGATGACATTTTGCTGAGCTCTCTCCTCGAAAAGGTTCAAGAAGAAAGCCCCGTTCGCATCAGGGCACTCCCGCTGCACGCTGAATCTTTCGTGGGTGGTTTTGCGGTTAACCCGTTGCCGGCACTGCTGGCCCAGCTGACACCGCCGAAGGAGGGGCGTTTCCTGCACGGGAGGAACAACGTACCGCCAGAGATCACTCTGGTGTGAGTTGCTCATGCCCCCGAAGGCTAGGAGAGCTCGGGATAGCGGGTCCCATGCCAAAGCCGGCTCTGTGCGACCTGCCGGACCTGACGTGTGGCTGTCCACAGTCCAAGCGTCCTCGAGAAATGCATAGCGGTAGAGTGAAGGATCGTAGGTCAGTTCATCCTCGAACTGAACTCCGCCAAATATCAGCATGCTCAGCGAATCTTCGTCCCAGACAGCTGCATGCCCGGCTCTAGGCGGGGGCCTCCGGGCTGGATTCAGCTCCGTCCATGTGTCGCTCCACCAGTCGAAAAGATGGAGATCGGACAAGTGCTGCGAGCCAGACCTACCGCTGTGTATAAACATGGCGGCGCTGAAGTCATGCCAAGCAGAAGCATGCTCACTCCGAGGCGTTGGCCCTGTCGTGGCTGAGGACGACCGCCACGTCTGCTGCTAGAGGTCGAAGATGTTTAGATCACCAAGCTCACCCTCGCTGCTTTGCCCACCGAAGACCACCATGCACCGCAGCTGCTTGGCAAAGATGGCAGAGTGGTGCGCCCGCGGTGTCGGTGACTGAGCAACATGCAGCTGCTTCCAGGATGAATTCTGTGAAAAGAACTGCCACATGTCATCAAAGAAGACGCCCTCACGAGTGCCTGCATACACAAGGGTGCAAGAGGAGCCTGTATCATAGATCGCAGAGTGTCCCGACCTGGGGCCGGGTACTGCACTAAGTGCATGCCAATAATTCCATTTCCGCATAGACCAGCTGTAGACCCAGACCTCACTGAAGTCGTAATGCCCCAATTGGCTGCTGCCACCCAAGAGGAGGGCTGACTGATTCTGGTCATCCCAGGTAAATGAATGGCCTTGTCGGCGCTCTGGGCCGGCAGTCGTGTGCTCGTTCCAGCCCTCTGCTTCACACCGGACTCCTGCCACGACATCACAAACGAACTTAAGGAAACACCATCGAAAAGCGACCCTCCCTCCCCTTGCCTGCGCCTACTCTGGAAGAGCAGCTGTGAATCTTCCACCCTCGGAACACGCATTCGCGCAGGCTCAGCTCAGAGCCTGTGCACTGGATGCGTTGCATAAATACCTCACGCTCGGTGTTGTGGAGGACAGACACCGGGACGCCTCCAGACAGGCCTAGCTGCTTGCAGGCCACCTTAGCAGCTGAAACATCCCAGCCGTCGTCGCAGATAACTCCCCAAGCGCCGCCATAGCTGACTTCCAGCAGCTGCCCACCCTCGCCTCCCAGACGTAGCTCCTCGAGCTCTGCGCCGGGCGACGGGAAAGGGAAGATCTCTGCAGGCACCAGGGAGGCTCCCATCTCTCCGGGGGACAAGCCCACCGTGGCTTTGTCGCCAGTGCCCAGCTGGCCGAACTCAGCCTTGCCCCAGCATCTGACGCTGTCGTCGCTCAGCAAGACGCAAGTGTGGCTGCCTCCAGCTGACACCTGTCGCACCCGATATGGCCCTACATCCACTGCCACAAGCGTCCCCACTCGAGTTGCCTCCTCCAATTCCACATTGTTGTTGGAGCCTACACCCAACTGTCCTTCACTCCCACGCCCCCAGCAGGTGAGGGACTCGTCTTGCAGCCGTGCGCACGCATGGGCACTGCCGGCAACGATCCCAACGGCAAATGCCGCAGCGGGCAGCTCAATGGCATAAAGGTACGGGTTGTTCATAGTGGTCGGCTTCCAGCATGTGACTGCGCCATCCACCAGCAGCACACAGTTCAAGTCGTACCCAACGACGACTTGCGTGGCTCTGATGCCAAATTCAAGTCGGTGAGCGTCCGGCAAGGAACTGCGTACCGGGAATGGGAGAAACAGACATTCAACGAGCCCTGCTCGAGTGAGTGCACAAATCTCAACAGATGTACTGCAGCCAGCAAGCTGCGTCACGTCAGAAGAGATATTGACCCGGAATGGGCGAGGGTCGTACCCATAGCCATCCAAGGCCCCATCTCCATCATCTCCATCATCTCCATCGGTTTCTACAACTGAGTGGGGCCAGCAAACCGTTTGACCAGTATGCACAAGTGCGCATCCATGCTCCGAACCCGCAATAATCTGAACTGCAAAGGTCTTTGCAAACCCGATATGGGTCGCATCCGCCCCCCCCCAGCAGGTCACGTTCCCTCCGCGGAGCAAGGCGCAGCTATGCTTGATCGCACAGGCTACTTGCAGCGCTTCTGTCTCGTTGAGATCGACGAAGGGCAAGAAAGAACCCATCTCATCAGGCTCATCGCCCATGTTGTCACTGCTTCCATGAAGGAGCTGCCCAGAGGATCCGGCGCCCCAACATTTCACTCGGCCGTCAATAGCTGCAACTGCGCAGTTATGATCTCTCCCAGCAGCCAGAGATCGCAGCGTATCCTGGGCCTGTGAACCTGACTGCCAAAGCTGAATCAGGTCTAGGTCTGCTGTCGTAGACTGCACCCTGAAGAGCAAACCGTCGATACCTCTGGGCAAGAATGCCTTGTCACGCTGCCAGCCTGTTGGGTCAGGGACTCTATGCTGCATCTGCCACACTGTCCACCAGCTTCCATGTATGGAGGCAGCCAGCTCCAAGCTGCCCGAAGACCAGAGGCGCCATGCGAACTCCACCCAGCCCGACTCCAGGGTGGTCAGGAAGGCTGGGCTTCGGAGTTCTGAGAGGTCTGAGGCCTGGCACGGGACTGCGGGTGACAAGCCTTCTTCGATGGCCTATGGATTCAGATGGCAACTTAGCATGAACGGTCTGATCCAGCCTCCGAGGTCAAGGAAAGATACCAATCGCCCTCCACAGCCTGGCCGACTGCGCGCCGTCCGCCTGACCAATCGCACAGGTTGTCTTCAAAGTCGCAGGCAGCCTCTTCCAAGGAGCGTAGGACGGCGATGGAGTCGATGCTAGCAACATCGCCTGGCGAGGCGAGCCGCGCCACCAGCCGCAAAGCAGCAGCCCCGATGGGAACAGCCACGATCGCCTCCTGCCACGATTCGGAGCTCCAGTTGCCACCCTGCGCCCAAAGGCTCGCCCAGCCACCGTTCTCTGAGGCTTTGTACTCCAGCTCCAGCACCGCTGAGCCCATGGCATGGAAAAAAAAGGACACGAACAGAACCTTGTCGGTGGCGTGGACAGAAGGGCTCTCAAGCATAACAACAACACTACTCTGCGAGATGTTGGATGACCGCAGGTACCAGTCACCGTGAGCCGCAGTAAGGTTCGAGCCATCTGACCTTCTAACACGCTCCCAGACAGGGCCAAGCCAGTCTGACAAGCTCGTGCCCGACCAAAGACATAAGTCTGTCTCGAAGCCGCATGAGAAATCAAAGAAATGGCCGCGAGCAAAGCTAATCTCGTCCAGATACATCTCGGTGTAGGCCTCAGTCTGCACAAAGCGCACTGCTACAGCTTCGGGTGGAAGGGCGACCGCCACATGGCGCCAATTTTCCGAGAATCCCATGCTGAAGAGGTTCCAGAGTGTGTTCCAGGTAGGAGGAGCCAAATACTGTAGCTTTGCCACAGGAACGAGCATGTCAATGTGGTCCCAGTGTATAGCAATGTAGGCGAAACGCAGGATAAATGCTGAAGAGCGCGTGCCAAACCAGGGGCTTGCCAACGCCTGCGGAGAAGTAAGTGTGATGACTTCTCTTGGTTCTAGCCGATAGAATGCCCAAATCGGTAACTATCCGGTAGCACTGCAAACCAACAAGACCCTGAGCCTCTTCCTCATGCTACGTGAGAACATGGCTATGTAAAGGAGCCCCTTCGAGCGATAGCGATGCAAAAAAACTCCAGAAAAGCTGGAGGGCACACGCGAGTTTTTTTTTGGAGAGACGGGGGGGGGGGGGGGGGGGACAGGGAGATCTTTATTCTTGTGGGGAGAGATACGATCGCCAGGACCCGCGGGGGGGGGGGGGGGGGGGGGAAGCCCAGCCCCCAGGAATTAGACAATTTAAATATGTTAAATCTCAAGGCCTCCCAAATATTTAATTTGTTTGAATTGTTTCATTCTCGCGCCTGAATTAAATAATTTAAATAATTTAAATATCCAGGCCTCCCAAATATTTGACTTATTTAAATTATGTAATTCTCGCGCCCAAACTACATAATGCAAATAATTTAAATATCCAGGCCTCCCAAGTATCCAAAATATTTAGATATTTAATTCGGCCCCCGAATTACATATTTTAAATAATGTCTAAAACTTAAATTAAATAATTAATTAAATCTGAAAGGGGGGGGGGGGGGAGGAGAGGCCCAGCCCCAGGAATTAAATAATTTAAACAATCTAAATCCCAGACCCTCCCAAATATTGAAAATATTAAAATTACTTAATTCCTGGGGCTGGTCCCTTCCCCTCCTTTTATAAGAGTTATTTAATTCCCGGCCCCGAAGGAAATAATTTAAATAATTTCAATATCCAGGCCTCCCAAAGATTTAAATAATTTATTCAATTCCCGGCCCCGAATTAAACTGTTTAAATGATGTAAATAATTTAAATAATTTAAATAATTTAAGTAGTTTAAATAATTTACATAATTTGAGTATCCAGGCCTCCCAAGTATTTAACAGATTTAGATTATTTAATTCGGGCCCCGAATTAAATAGTTCAAATAATTTAACTAGTTTACATACTGTAAATAATTTGAACAGTTTGAATAATTTAAACAATTTGAATTAGATATTTACATAATTTAAATAATTTAAAGAATGTAAATAGTTTAAATCTGAAAAGGCGGGGGGGGGGAAGGCCCAGCCCCCAGCAATTGAATAATTTAAATCAACTAAATCTCAAGGCCTCCCAAATATTTAGTTTGTTAAAATTAATTCATTCTCGCGCCTGAAGTAAATATTTTAATAAATCTAAATATCCAGGCCTCTAAAATATTTACATTATTTAAATTATTTAATTCCGCTCCCGAATTAAATAAATTAAACAATCTAAATAATCTGAATAATTCAAATAGTTTACATAATTTAGATAATTTAAATCTGAAAGGGGGGACGGGGGAGGGGGGGGGCGAGGAGAGGCCCAGCCCCAGGAATTAAATAATTTGAATAATTTAAATATCAGGGCCTCCCAGATATTTAAGTTACTTAATTCCCGGGGCTGGCCCCTTCCCTCCGCCCTTCGGAGAATCCCATTGTTTAAATTATGAAAAAAAAACTTAAAGTATTTAAATCATTTAATTCCGGGCCCGAATTACATAATTTAAATATCTTAAACATCAGGCCCACCAAATATTCAAATTGTTTATATTATTTAATTTGGGTCCCGGAATTAAATAATTTAAACCCTGAGGCCACCCAGAAGTTTAAACCATTGAAATATTTAAAAGCCATCTCATCATCTTCATCATCTCGTTCATCTCGTTCATCTTCTTCATCACCTCCTTCATCTCCCCCCGTGTCTGTCATCTCATTTTCACATGCATCCTCTACATCGAGGATCCCCATCAGCTTCATCATCATCATCATCATCATCATCATCTTCTTCTTCTTCTTCCACCGCGGCAAGAACATGTCCTTGTCCAGCGAGCGCCTTCGGCGCTCAGCACCGGCCGATCTCCATGGCTTGGCACGCATGCCCTTTGGACGGCTTACTTACGCTACGAAAAACGAGAGCGATCCGTACGCTCCACAAGGACCTCTGTCGGCAAAAGAATGATGCGGCAGACTATGCGGGCAGCACTCTACGCCCTTCTTGGGAAGTAACGTTCTATGCCGGTTTGAGGCACAGAGGGAGTCTGTTCATGTCCTGACAAAGGTGCTCCAGCCGTTTCCCTTGAAGATACAGCTGACTGGCGATCCACTCTTCCCCGTGCAGTTGCGTGTTGCATAGCCACAGCATGGCCATGGCCCCCAAGCGGCGAATCTACGCTACCGAAATCACGAGTGAGTGCTGCAGCAGACTCGCGAAAATCCTGAGAATCCCGAGTCAACAAGATGATGTACATGTCACGGCAAGCTTTACTGCACTCGGCTTCAGTGGCAACTCGGACACTTTTGCGATCATCGAAGACTTGAAACTCCCCATCGGCAGCAATCAGCGAAGTGTAATGGCCTGAATGCGGGGCAGAGCCATGATGCCTTACAACTGCTGTGATGCGGTAAGGGAGCCACTGCACTGCTAAAGAAGTGGAACTGCTGAAGAGTGGCATCTGCACGACGTGTGGGATGTGACACATCTGTCGGGTTTTTGTTACGCGACCACTCCTGTACTGAAAACGCGGAAGTTGAAGAAACAGCCATGGTCCTGTTTCAACGAGAGCTTGTCGATACTCTTGCTGATGCCAATGATTGACAAGATGCTGAAGTTCAGGATTATGTTGAGGGGGCGGAGTTAATGGGATGCACTGTGGAAGCGAGGCTGGATCGGTCCTTTCCAGACCACCTTGCATGCCCTGCCGGCGCCCCTGCCAAGAACCCCGGGACCATCTTGGATGAAGAAAGTCGATCAACTCAGCTATGTCACGCTGGCTCTCAGCATCGCGCCAGCCCAGCATGTAATACCCCAGGAGCTGTAAAGCTCGTTGCCCCGTACGACCTGAAAGTCGTTGGATCAGCTCCGGAAGCTGAGTCCACATATTCGTAGCGCGCGCTGCAGCAGCAAAGGAGATGCATTAAGGTAACAGTGATTACCGGGGTTGAAGAGAGAGAAGTCAGGAGGAGTGCTAAGGTGACTGGGCATCGGGCCCGGCGCGAGGATGGATCACCATCCCGATCAGAGCAGCTCAGCGGTTGCCCAGGCGCTTCGCTACTTGCTTTGCCGCAGCTGTGCGCTGCAACGTCTCCCGTTTGAGAGACACTCCAATCAGCTGCCAAACCGACAGGCTGGCCAACGAGCAAAAGGCCTCGTGAACCTCCCAAGCCTTCTCTCCCCGAAGAGACACTTCCAACAGGAAAACCGCTTGCAGTTTCTGTTCCGCTGCGCTTTCCAGCTGCTTCAGCGGGCGAGTGCTGCAGAACTTGTGTATGATTTCGCCCTGCGTCGCCATCAACAGGAAAGTCAACAGACGAATAACCTCGTCCGGGCTCGGAACCAGCTTTTTGGTTCGATGACAGAACTTCATGACGCACCACCCTCCACCCGGCGTCACCCACTTGGCCGCTTTGAGCTTGTCCAACCCCTCGGTCGCGGCAACCATTTTCTGAGTTCGCTGCATGAGTTCTCGGAGCAAGCAGGCTAGCAGTAGGGTTCTTAGGGGAGACTGGATCTTGGAGGGGTCCTCTTCGCGAGTCTTGTTCCATTCCACCGAGATGGCATACGTTGCCGGGATGATGGAATATTGGTCCTGATGAGCGAAGACCACGAAGGCTTTGTCCATCCGAAGGGCCAGCTGATCTTCGCGTTGGATCAGCAAGCGAACAAGGAGCCGCATGTGTTCGGTCAAACTCCCTGTGTGACGATTGCCCCTGGAGGCTGTCTGCACAGGGCCCCGCTGCTGCCGGGCATCCTCCTCCTGTCTCGGTCACTTGCTCGGCTGGTCCTTGGGAGGCGCCGGGCTTTGGGAGTTGAAGGAAAGCAGCGCAGGATGGCAATGAGCGAACAGGTCGGCTTCCGAATTGAGGCCACTCAGGTCGACATCCGACCTGACGTTGATGATATTCTTTGACGACGCAAACCTGGTACAACGCTACGCACTGAATCACGTGACGACCTGGGCTCCCGACCTTGCCCCCGTACCAGGGACAGTCATGGTCACGCGTGAGCTGTCGCTTAAATGTAGCACAGAGTTTCACGGCAGAGTCACGCAAGCCTGGAAACTCGGGCTCATGTGTGCGGACAATGTGTTGTTTCACCTTGCTGACGCATGCAACCCACATGTGACATATGGTACAGTGTGCCTTAAGATCGAGGCTCTCGAAGCACGGCTTCCCAATTGCACAAACGCCCAAGGAACTCAGGACGAAGAGGCAAGTTTTGTCGCGTGCCCGTGGCCTCAACGCCCACCTCAGAGCAGCCCCCGGCTTCGATGACCTGCATGAGCATCAGGGTTCTTGATAGGATGTTTGGTGAGGCTCTCGCCTCCGAGGACGTGACATGAACCACCTTCGATGTGGGCCTTCAGGTGTTGCCATCGCACACATCGGCGGTTGCAAAGCTGGCACTGTGGCATACCCCCTGTGGCATGCAGATGCGCTGCAAACTTAACCGGTTTACTGGCGGCATGCACTGGCAAATAACCATGCGTCAGCTTGCAATGTATGCGCCGAGCATTGTCGCTAGTGAAGGGCACGGCGCACTCCGGACAAAGGTAATCAAGTGTGTCTGCGGCGTTGCTGGACTGTGGCGAGGCACGGATGTCGGCGACGATTGACTGAAGCGATGTACAATGTAGTGAGATGACGAAGCTGGTCAAACACCTCAGGACATGTAGTGATATCAGGTGCCTCTACCGCCTTGACCCGCAATTTGGCTGTGAAGTTCTCGACCGCTCGCAGCAAAGCAGGACCGACGGATTCCATATTTGCTCTCGCCCAAATGGACTCATTAGTTCTATGGGTGAGGTGAGCTGGTTGCTTGAAAATGGCACGTAGGTGACGAACCATGACCTTTTCAAGCTTAAGGAGGCCTACCTTTGTCACCCCCACCGCGGGGAGTGAGTAGACAAGGCTCGTCTGCACGCACGTCGCCCAAAGGCGGACGCAATGCCGACAGGAAAGAGAGTGCGAACCATTCAATGTTTTACGAAGCTGCTGGTGTTTCGCTTGTCCGGCCTCTGCTCTCGAAAACTTAGGTTCTTATCCAATCGATGACGATACGAGACCCGAGTCCCAAGATACTCGTGTGCCTCCTTAATAGGGATGAGCTCAAGTTTGTCATAGACCTGCACCTTCAAATATCGCGTACCATTTTTCAAGCAACAGTGCTCATGAAGAATCGCTTTGGCTTGCTTGCCTTCGACCCTCAGCAAAATGGCAGTCTTACGATAATTAATCTCCATTTTGTACTCAACTAACGTTTCCAAGATGACGGTTAAATCAGAGAGCGCCAACAAGAAATCTTCTTTACTCCTCAATATCCAACTCCCCCAAGTGTCGTCAGCAAATAGCGTGCTGATTTGCTGCATCCACGAAGCGCTGCGCTTGGTTTGCAGGGTGTGAAGGAGGGCGAGGGTGTAGTAGCACCAAAGAAACGGGGCGATCAGACATCCCTGTTTCAGCCCGTTCGAGGTAGTAATGGAGCCCTCAAGAGAACCGGCTCTAAAGACATACCGAGCATCTTTGTAGAGTTGTTGAACAACGGCGATAACATCCTGTGACACTCCGAATTCGGACAAGGTGCCATACATCCGCGGCCGGTCTGTAAGATCAAAGGCCTTCGAGAGATCTAGAGAAAGGCTCATGCCTCCGAAGAAAGGCAGCTGCCGAACGCCCTTTTGTTGCTGGAATCTGTCGACGCGATTTTCCCTCAGGAGCTGGCCCACTTGTTCAAAGTGGTAGCGTACACGAAGAAGGGCTGAGGTTGGCACTGCAGCAGAGGCGCCAAGGTCTCAACCAATCGCGTGCGTATGAGCCCAGCCACAATCTTGGCCGACGGGCATTGCAGTCCCATCGGACGAAGGTTTGCGACTTCTGTCGCTGGTTTGTTTGGCTTAGGGATTAGCGAGATGCTGGCATCGTGAAGCTCCTGCTGCAGCAGCCGCTTGCTACGAGCGCAGAAGTGAGTACGCAGGGCAGGGCTCAACACCTGGCTGATGCATGGCCTTGGTGGCCCCAAGCTTGCGAAGCTCGGCCTGCACATCGGCATCGGTCACTTCGAAGTCCTGTTGCAAACAGCAGACATCGCTCACATCCGGATGCTTTGCAAAAAAACCCGGGACGTACTGCAGGATGCGCTGGAGTTCCTCGGCCTTACTCAAGAGGGCTCCCGTAGCGCTACGCGCTCGAGAGACAATTTGAAGACTGGGCGGCGCCAGGCTGCGGACAATCTGGTGAAGCACGCGCTGGTTGCCTGCGGCGGCTGCTTGTGCTCGGCTTCTTCCAATTTGTTCCACAGCGCAGCCTTCTTGAGCTGCTGGCTCTGGGCACGCAGGGCAGCCAACGCCCTCCGGAAGCGAGCGTGATCAAACCACTTTAGGCTACTCGAGGAGCCTTGAAGATCTGGTAGAGTCGCCAGGTTTCCCGAGCTGATGCTCTGTAAGGCCGGGCTGTTGTTAATGACGGCTAACTGCAGCGCTGTCTTATCGAAAACCATCCCTGCCCGGCCGGTGGCCAGGGGCCGGCCAGCCATTCGCCAAGCACCAACGGGGAAGGAGTGCAAAGGTCGTGCTCGCAAGACCTCTACTATCTCTAAGACGCGTCATCACAAAGTCAATCTGAGACCGACCCTGATGTGATTCGACGAAGGTATGGGCAGGACGGGCAACCCAACTATTTAGTACACAGAGGTTGTGCTCCCTAACTAAGCCTAAGCGCAGCAGAGCTTTATCCGCAGTGGAGCCTTCGCTCCTGACAGTGGCCGCCGGGCCAATGTGTGGCTGCTGTTGCAGCAGCATGGAGTTGTAGTCCCCTGCGACCAGGAGCGGGTTTCTGGCGGGAAGGCTGAGAAGAAGGGCGCCTAACTTATTCCACACATCATTGCGGTAGATGTGATTCTGCTCGGACGAAAGCTGAGTGCGCCAAACATGCTGGTATAAACCCACCAGATCAACATTAAGACCAGTTTTGTCATGTGTAGCACGAAAATGAACTAAACGGCCAGGGTAAACCTCTTTGAAGGCCATGTTCGTGAACAACTTAGTCCTAGCCATGATAAGAATACCACCATGTTTATCAAAGGACACATCGGTGCCATGTCCTGGGGAATGAAGGCGTGCCCATCGACCACTATGGAAATCAGAACACGGACCC